TAATTTCGGTCGTATCTCCCACCTTACAAATAAGGGTCTTAATGATCAGGCATATAAGTAACTAGGATTGGTGGACTTCCTGTCCCCTGTACAGCAAAGAGGAGTAAGAATTATAGATAATGACATTGTAATCCAGGTGCTATGGTGATCAGCAAGAAAGTGGTACTTGTAGGCTTCGGCCCTTTCTTCTTGCAGAACTCTAATAATTAATGAGTGAAAAGTAGTCAATGCTCACTGAATTTTTCAGGCTGCTACATTCCCCATTTCTGGGGGTTAGAGTGCCCTGAACATTTCGTGCTGTATCTGGTGTGTATGCGTGTGTGTATGCGTATTTGGCATGAAAGCACTACTGCCTCCTCTTCAGCTGTGTTTCGGGGGAAACCATCCATTGTATTTTTGTGCCTAATCCACTCTGCATGCTTTGAAAATATCTAACAGATTGGGTTCCTCAAGTGCCTGTAGATGGAGAATAGTCTGCTTTCCCAACATTCCCCTTACTTTAGACAGAACAAAGGTATTGGGTTGTTAAATTTGCCTGTGTCTCCAGAACTGCATAGTCCTACAGGAAGGGATCTAATCAAGCTGGGCAGCAGATGAACAGCTGGCTTTCGGATCACCAATCCAGGCTCAGGCAATGCAATTCCACTCAAGTTATGCTCTGTAGATGCTTTAACTCTTTTATTGGCTTCAGCCCTATGATGGTATCTATGGCAGATGTGATTTCAAGCAGATATTGATGTGAAAAGGTGAAAAGGTTGGAAGATGTTCAAGTAGCTGGCTTAAACATTTCACCTGGAAAAGCACATTCTCTCTTGGCACAAGAGCATAAGCTTGAGTTGTGCCTTTCTTGGTCCTAAAACTTAAAGAACCTCTAAAGCCTGCCAAGCTTCTCATAAAATATTGAAAAGAATGAAAGGATGACCTGACTTTCTGTCACATAAAAAAGTCCTCTGAAGGCAGAGAAGTCTTTTCATTTTGAGAGAGAAAAAAAAAGATGGAAGAATAAGAGAAATTCTAGAGCTAACTTCTCTAAGGGAACAGAAATAAATGTCATAAAGAAGTGGTAGGGGACCTCTGCAAGTAGGGATGGGTCTTCTCCCACCTTCTATTTGAATGAATGTTAGGCTCAGTAGTGAATAATCTCTGAAGGATATATCCAATGTGTCTCAGATCTTCTTTCTCTGAGCTGCCTTCTTAGAAAAAAAGTGTTTCCTGTTATTTTTCCCAGACTTCTTCCCTATAACTGTATACTTCTTTAGTTTTTGCTGTTACTCTCCAAGTATTATCTTTACCCTTCTTCACATCCAATCCTTTCCTGAATAAAACCACTCAAGCTGAATGCTTTCAGTCCTCTTCTTGTAAAAGTCTTTATCAACCCTTAACTTCACAGAACAGCAAGTTTTCAGCCACTCGCACTTTTCAGTTTCTTAAATGGCACCCAGATTCCATTCCCCACCCATTTTCCCATTTAAGCAGGGTCTGCTTCCAACAGCACTAAAGACTCTGGAAAAGAAAGGTCTTGTTTTATTTCACTCAGGCTTAGACAGTTCTGAATTTCTAGAAAATACTGAGGTGCTATATAAAAAATCTTCATAAGCAGAAGAAGGAAAGCTTTAAAAAAAGGTATTTTCTCATAGAATATATTGAATTTTAGGAGGTGAGTTTTTTTGCAGAAAAAGAACTTCAGGCAAGCTGAATGAGTGGACTGTCTGCCACAACCAAAAATGTGGGTCTTCCTTGGGTCCTATGTGATAACTTGGGTGCTATGTGATAAACGTCTGGCTGTCTCAAACAATGCTAGTCACAAGTAAATTAAGCCTGCAGGGATCAGGTTCAGCACCTGAATTTAAGATCCTAAGCACAGATACCTTGGTGTGAGCTATGTCTCCAAGCCACTACCACAGGTCTTGTGAGTGGAGCTAGTGGAGCATACTAACTTATCCAGCTGACCAAATGGAAGCATCTGCTTCAGGGTGCAAACTCCTTTGAGTATACTGGGTTAACTTCAGTTGCCCAAATAGGCATCTTGTGCTACTTAAGTTGTCCTGGCTAGTCCTGCCTGGCCTCCAGTCGTCTGTCCAGACAGAAGTAACACTGCTGCATCCGAAGGCCCTCTTTCAACGCATGAAAGCACAAGGTTCAAATGGCTCCTGTGGAGGAGCCTGAAACACATCTCCACTGTCTGCAACAGAAAGTTAAGATGCTTCACTCACATTCTCATAGCTAAATTTCTGTGCTTGAAGCCAAAGCTGAACTCTACTCTAGGGGACTGCCTTTGAAATGCAGTGTACAGAGAAAAGAACTAACCCCCTTTTAGAGTGGAAACATTAAAGACACTCTCAAATACCTTGGGAACTACAGAGTACAGATAATTCATTTTTGTACTTATTTCTCAGACTCAAAACCCCATTTTGAAATGTTGGGGACAAGCAGTAAGTCTCTGGTAAGGCTTCTGGAGTCTTTCTCACCTCTGTTTCTCACAGCATCCTGGCTAGACCTTCTCTGAGTTTCCCTGAGACCTCTCCAGACAGTGCTCCCTGGTTCCCGCCTCACCTGTAAGTATTCCTATTACTCCCTACAGCAATATCGCCTTTCTACAAAGTGTCACACAAAAAAATAAAGGCCTGATTTGCTTGACAAAAAGCAGTGCTTTTAACAAGTACCTGTGCTCACAAAGGAAGACTACCTCAGCTTCCCGAAGACTGACTGAATACTTACTGTTTTCCTCTCAAATAGCCTAGATCTTAGGTGGATATTCCAAGCAACACTTCAAGTACTGCTGTTGACCAAGAAAGTAGTTAAGAACAACGGCATTAGTTCAAATATCAAGTATCATTTTGTTTTACAGGTGATTTACTTCAGTACCATACCACACTAAACACCAGCCACACCTTCACAAGTTGGTTTACTGACAGCAGTTGGAGAGAATACAGTGAAAGAGATAAATGGCAGTGCAGAACTGAAAATCTTTTAAAATTCCAGGTGGTCTTCTTCAATCTTTGCCTTTTGTCATCTTTCATTCACTTTGGATGATAGCGACCTTGCTAAGTACACCAGGGATACATTGCTAAGTGCAACCACAAAGCCAGCTAAGAGTAGTTTTTTTGGATATTAAAAGATCCCTAAAACCATTTATTTAGGAAATCGGACAGTGAGGATTAGCCAGTATCACCCTTGGTTAAATGCCTGAGACTACATATTTAAATAAACAGCAATCTCTAAAGAGAATTAGTATTTCGGGGTCCTTTGTGTATTATGTAACATAAATGACGTGATACACTAAGTCACAAGATACAGTAAAAGCACATAAGAAAGCAATGCCACTCTTTGAGTGCCAGGACTTCACTTTAGTTTATTACTAAACATCCGTAACATGATTCTTTCTTTCAAAGGGTTCATAGCCCACTCCTAGACTAAACTTTTATTGCTTTTACAGTAGCACAGTTCCTAAGGAAATTAATTTATGCTATTTAGCTTAAGTCTTACTTTTGCTGGCTTTCAGATTTTTTTTTAAAAGTAGTTTAATCTCCTATCATCTCTTATTTTTCTCTATTTTCATCTTAAATAGCTGACCAAATCAGAACTTATCCCACAAATTATCTGAGTGTGCCCAGCCCTGCCATTTTTTCTGCTCCCTTCTGCTTTATTTTTGATCTGCCACAACCCTTGAGAGGAAAAAGCCAAACAAGATGCAAACCCCAGCAAACAAATCCTTCCTCAGGGTGTGGGGCATTCAGCTAACCTGAGTAAGCTGAGCAAAATCATGGAGATGGCTCAAAAACCTCCGGAGATGTGATTTTTCTGTCATTTTTGCACTAGTGAAGTGGCGTTTAAAAGCATTCTGCTGAAGAAAGGAGCAATGCTTCCATCGCTTTAACCTATCGGGGGCTCAGAAATGGGAACACGCAGTGAACAGCCGGGCACCTGCTGTCGTGCCCGGGGCTGGGCAACAGCCTCGGGGCGGGGGGACGCCGGAGCCCTGCAAACAGCTCGCAAGCGCTGGAGTTGCGGGTTTCCATAGCCAGACCGGAGCACGGCACTGAGCCCGCTTCGTCCTAAGGCCACGGGGACTGCTCCCAATGCTTCCCTTCCCGCGGGGCTGGGCGGCCAGGGCAGGGCAGGGCAGGGCGGCAGCCGCCCCGCAGGCCCCGCCGTTGCCGCGGCAACCTGCGGGCGGGCGGCCTCAGACCCAACGGCTGCCCGGGGTCCCGGGCCGGGCCCGAGGGAGGGAGGAGGTCGTTGATATGCGCGACGCCTCGCCACCGCGCCGGGGGTGCGAGGGCAGACAAAGGCGGGCTTCATCTGGAGGCCGAGCCGCGCACAGAAGTCGCTGTTGTACTGGGCTGCAGATGTTCGGAGGGGCAAGGCGAAGCGAGCGGCCGCCCTCCCCCCTGCCGGGGAGGGGAAGGGAGGAGCAGGGTGGGGGGAATGCAGCGCTGCGAGCCCAGCGCGTTTGGTTGAGCTTCCCCCAACGCAGCGACTCCGGCGGCGGCGAGTGGGTGCCCCGAGCATTGCGCTGCCCTCTGCCCCAGGCCCGCGGAGGGAAGGCCTCTTTCACCGGGAGGGAGGGACAAGCGAAGTCCTGCTCGGCACCGCGGAGGAGCCTGTCATGGCACATGGTTTGCGCTGTCGCCCGCAGGTGTCACCGGGGATGTAGGATGCCTGCCTCCTGGAGTGGGGACCGGTTGAAATAAAATACTAAAAACATCTAAGAGTATTAGCTATTACTTGGTTTAGAAACAAGATGAGGTGGTTTGGGTATTTTATTTCTTTCTTCCCCTCTCCCCCCACAAGTAGCCAAAAGCCAAAACTCTCCTAGTGAATGCCTCTCCCTGAGTGGGAAAAGCTGCCTTGTTTCATTAATGTTACTCCTTTTCCCCAAGAAGAGAAGGAAAAGTATTCCCATTATTTTAGCTCTGGAGAAGCCTCAAGTATTTAAAGAGACATGGAAGATGTACTGAGCCCAGCCTTATTTTCTCCCCCCCCCACTTTGTTACCACCAGATATCAAAGGAGAAGAGGGGAAGAGAGAGCAGAAAAAAGCAATCACCTGAGAAGTTGGATACGGTGCTATAGGGCACCACGGGTACACCTCTACTGTGAAGGAAAGCAAATTGCAGAGGTAACCTCTACAGTAACCTCTTTTTGAACCTCGCCTTGATTAGTACACTGATCCACCCAACACTAAAACACGTTTGTCCGGAGCATGGGCAGAGCAGTTTTGGCAGCATTTGTAGCACAGAAGAATCCTGTATTCAGAAAATCATATGGTTGTGCACAAAGATGTTAAAATCTCACTCTACTGTGGATTATATGTAATTCTCTCCATAGGCACAAAAATAGCAGTAGCTATAAACCAAATAGTAGGTAGGTAAGCCCTTTTTTTCAGATATCTGCTTTCCTGTTTCCTGTTCCTACACTGTTTTAAAAATAATAGTTTGCTGTAAGGAAAATACACAGATCTCTGTTACACTCATATAAACACATCAACATTCCCACCAGTAAATGTGCGTGTACTAATTGTAATCATGAAAGCATTCTGATGAATGATATATAGTCATTTAGGTGTTTTAGGGCATTACTTTTTTTCTCACTATGACGGTATGAGTTCTGTTTTTCCTTTAGAAGTACTCAGTCTTGCTGGTAGCCTTGCTGCGTTGCAGATTTGCTGAGTGACTGAGAGCCTGTTTTTAAAAGGATTATTTTTCATGTTTGGGAAAAATGCTGCTGCAAGTTTTAAAAAGATGCTACTTCTTTTTTTGACCTTTGTTCCATTTACACCTTTCTGCGCACAGCTTTTGTGATTGTAATCTGTTATTCCAATCAAGTTTGTCATAGTCTTTATAATGAAGCTAGACATGCATTTAGAAAATGGCCTAGCAAGGACACTTGGATGTGGTTCCAAGTAGAAGGAACACGGTGATCACAAGCGGTACTTGGGCAAGGAAAGCACAGTGGTTAATGGTATTGAGACCCAGACCATGTATTTATTTCACAGTCCCTGCTGAAGTGTAAGGAACTTTTAGACTGAATTATTTAATAGACTGCCAGGTCTGAAAGTGAAGTCAGAACTTGTGAGGGAGAATCCACTGTTCACAGCACAGCACTTTTATTTAACACTTAATTAGGAAGCTGTGTACAGAGAAGCTTTTGAGATATTGTTGCCGTTAGAAACTGAGCCCTAGCCACTGGGGTTATGGTCAGACTGCCATCTCCATCCCCACCTCCCTTCCCTGCCTTCCTCTTGCTCCACTGGCTGACCTTGCTGTGCTTGGCTGAGCTGAACCTTGAGGTGCTGCAGTGTTTTATATTGCTGGTCCCCAGCATTTAATGTGCGAGCATGCAAGGAATGGTGCCATCCTCAGGTACCAACAGTGTTTTCCTTTTCTGAAAACCTGCCAGCTGTCATTTAATATCACTTGAGTATCATGTAACAAATGTAAAAGCTATCTGACAGTGAGAACATCTCTTTTCCTACTGATCTAGGCTGGAACACAGCAAAGTTTCCATTTACTTCTAGCTATTGTGAAAAGAAAGCTCTATTGACCTATTTTGACACTTAGCCAGGGAGGTGGCTACATCAGTCAGAAGCTGACAATTTTTGTTTCCAAACTCAACCACCAGAATTTTAACACTGTGCTTTGTTTGAACTGAAAGACTGTCATTTCAGTGCCTTTTACTCACCATTGATCTCAAGATTATGTATTTTACATGGTATTTTTGAGCCATACTATTAGCCATCATTATAATATTCTCCATGCAAAATTATTGTTTGTGTAAGCCTGAGGAGATTTCCAGTGAATTTTCACATTACCGAGTGGCACTGAACAATCTTTTGTGCAAAGGTATCACGGGTGTCCTCGTTTTTATCCTCTTCTTCACAGGGAGACTGATCCTTGACCGCACAAGGCATTTGAAGTTCTGCAGCTGATTTTTGCGAGACCAGAAAACAGGTCTCCTAATTCTGCCTGTCACTGAGCATCTCCCAGATTGGGAGCCAAAGGCGTACAGGAAGTGGTGGGATCAGAGTCTGAATTAATGCTACTGGGAATAATTGATCTTCAGAATGATTTCCACAGGCACAGCTTCCAAAGGTGCTGAGTGCTGATACATAGCAGCACAATACTGGCTTTGCAGACCCGTGAAGGAGTGGCCACTCTAAGCAACAAAGCATAGGAATTTTATTTTTGCAGAGAACAATGCATTATCAGAACATTACAGGCTTTCATCTGGACTGTCAGTAGGTTGAACTGGATCACTGCTGGCACACTGAGGGACAGCCTGAGTTTTCTATGCATTATTTCTGCCAGGCAGGATTCCTTCAGGTGCACCTAGCGGCATTTTTCTATTGTTGTGAGAAGAGAAATTTGAGCCAGGTTGTTGGCAACAGTGACAGCAGGGGATTTTTTACCCAAAAGGTATAAATGTCAATTAGGTACTGAAGCTCTGCTCACTATCAATCAGTCGAAAATCTCCTTCTGCCTGATGCTGCCTTGCCTCAGGGCTAGAGCAACAGTTGGACATGCTTCATGCTTCAGTGGGACTGTGGTCCCTCAGCCCAGAAACCTGTGCTGAGATGCTCTTGTCAGGGAGGGAGCTCTTTAAACTTTACATTCGTTACCCGTTTTGAGACCCATACCGCATTCAGTTTGAATATGTAACTAAGTCTTGGATTAGAGGATGGGCATAACCTTTGTGCATAGCATTAAACATAGGTGAATATTTCAATGGGGATGGGCAGCAGAATCTATAGTCTCTACCTTCAGTACCTACAAAACCGCTGTTTGTGGCTGATCCAAATGTAAGTTAAGCAAAGTATGAAAAGTATCATTTATTTTTAAGTCAAGTCAGTTACTGAACAGTGTGAGATGACAGTAATTATTTTTAACATTACTTAAAAACCTGTATTTTCAAGAAAATGTAGGAGTTCAAATATGTTTGACATTTGTGAAAGTCAGAAGAAATACTGCTGATTGATTGACAAAAGCAGCAGTTTCACAAAGTAATCTTCAAGCACAGTATCTAAAAACCACTAAACCACTGTGATTATCTGAAATAAATCTAAGCAGAGGGATACAAAGTTAGAGTGAAAAAAAACTTTCATGGAGATGTGGTGAACGTACCCACTGACATAAATTCTGGCGAGATAAAAGATGGTAAATAGAGTAAGAAAATGCTTACAATTTCAGATAGCCCTTTTTCTGCAACAAACTCGCAGTCTGTGTATTGCCTTTCACTTTCATGGTCAGAACTGGGTTTTTTTCAAAAGAATATCATTCTACTACGGACACTATGTTCTCAATAAATGTCTTCCACACATTAACTGTAGCTGTTCTCAATGTGATTTTAAACAAGTAAAGCTCTTCCCATGCTTTGATGTTTTGGCAGACTGTGAAGGCACGTGGTTATATTCCTCCCTTTATCTAAAGAAACAGGTAGCAAAGAAGCTAAAGGGCAAGCAAGGCACACTAAATTTGGGTCTGCCTTCTTGATAAGCTTTGTCCTTGGCTATTAAACATTCAGTGACCACCAGGATGTTGGAGATACCTCATACACATTACGGAAATCAGCAGTGTTACCAGAGTTGCAGTTCACAACTCTAGAAATGCTTGGAACCTAATCTGCTAATTTTTTCAAAGAGATGGCAAACTCATTCTTATCACTTCAGATTACCCTACAGTGTTTTTAAGCGTAACCCTTTAACATGACTGACAGTTAAGCTTTCTAAGCTCCTTGGATGTCATTGCTTGTTTGATTTGTACAAGAATTATTAACATTCCTCATTTTGAGTGCAAAACCTTGTCTGTTGGAGAGAAACTCTAATTTGTATTTTCCTGTAAGTCCTCTCTTTAGGGCAATTGGGTTGCTGTCAGTTAGCACCTTCTTCCCATGAAACTAGGCCTTCTCATGAATCATACTCCCATACACCCAGTTCATCTTAACATCTTTGCCTGTCTGTTCACAGAGGCAACTGAACATCTTGCTGTCTTCAGGCTCATATTCAGTCTTCATTTGATGAACCAGAGAGCAAAAAAGGAAGATCTGCTTCCTCTCTCCAAAGAAGATGTGAAATTGCTTCTTCAGTGCTGTCTTGTCGAGGTACCTACTTCGATGTTTAATGCAGAACTCCTTTTTCCTAACTTACATATTCTCCAAACAGGATTTATTGCTTTAAACCCTGTTGAGAGCCTTTCCAGAGCAGTTTACCTCCATATCGTGACACAAATGGAAATAAGGGAAGATCGTGACCATACCTCTCTCTGCGAGCCAGCAAGGCTGGACAGCCACAAAAAGAGAGCTCCATCATAACCATTTTGTAGCATATGTTGGCATGTGGCAGCATTCTTCTTTCAGAGCTCTGGCTAGAGTGATTAAATGCTCATTGCAGTTTTGTGTCTCTCAAATACAACTAAACCTTCAGAAATCTGATTATGGCAGTAACTGGGAAGTTGACAGGAAAGCAGCAGAGCTTGCAAAGGTTAATTTGGATGAAAAAACTTGTCATGATTCCATGATACAGAGCAATTTTTTCTAATCTGCATGGAGTGGGCATGTGGTGGAAGGAAGGAAACTAAGAAAGGATGTCTTTTGAGCAAACAGATTTGATCATGAGAAATGTTTGTCTCCAAGTTTGGGTTTTGTTTAAAGTAAATATCTTCCTGTCAAGGCTGGCTTCACAAATGAGCAAGTAATTTTTAGGCTCTAGAGTAATGTCATTTTCTGACACTAACGAATCTTTATCTCTAATGCATACACACTGCTCAGATTCTTTTTTGTGATATTCAGGACTAGAGGAAGCCTACTGTAATGCATGAAATTGTTAGGATTTCACTGGAATACATGAGAACATAACTTTGCCAGCTTAATTACCTGTACTGCATCAGATAGTGTGTACACTCTGTATTTTCTGACTTTGGAGTAAAGAACTGCTGTAATCACCCCAAACCTTTTATAACAGATGTTCTGAAAGTGCTTGTGAGACATGCTGGAAATTTCTCCATACAGTCCTGGGTTTCACGTTAACAGGAGCTTGTCTTTTATTCTATGAGAAGGGTGCACTGAAAGCCTGCAGTGAATTATTAACCACATCAGTGAGCTGGGGTTTGTATAGCTTAATTTATATTGAGTATATCCATATCCAGGGGTGGCATCATGGAATTAAATGGCCTTGCTCTTCTGTAAGGAGACACAGAGCTTTGAGTAAAACTACCAGAAGCAGTTCCAGGAGGTAAGATTTTTGGAAAGATATACTAGAAAAAGCATGTAATAATGACATGAGATGTGACAATCAGGAGTAAAGCTGGTTGCTTTTGTTGTGTTCTTCATTTTAATAGAAAGCAGTATTGAATATTAGCTTACACATTTACATGATCAGATATGTGAGTAAAACCTTATAAAGTAATAATAAAAACCCCCTCAAAACTGAGATGTAGCTGAAGTGAAAGCTGCAGCTTCTGTAGACTATGGCAAAGTAAAATTTGGGCAAGTTGCTTGAGCTAGGCAGGCTCTTCCTAGACCTCATTCATATATCCTTCAGACAGGAATGCAAAGGTGTCATTATTTCTCTTTAGAGCAGTCAAGATCTCAGAACGGTCTCTCCAAGGACCTTTCACTTTTGGGAGAGAGTGGGGTAATTTGTCTGAATTAACATGAACATCTCTTCTTGCCAAGACAGTTTCTGAAGCTCCAAGACAAGAAATTAAACTGGGGTTCAGCAGATTAAAGGTCATGTCCTTATATAAGCACCCACAACAGGCAAGAAAAAATGTGATTCAGTTAGTTTCTGTGATTTAAGTTAGCTGCCAGATTGTACTTGACAATCTACACTCATTCCAATGTCAGCCTGATTTTGATGTTGTGGTTTTATCATAAATTCTTGTTGTCAATGTAAACCACCTGCACAGTAAAACCCTGTTATTATCCACAATCACAAAGGGTGATTTTACAGTACATACACTGGATGTCATTTTGTATTACTATGAGGTTTTGTGAAAGAGCTTCATATTTTAGAGTTGCTTGTAGTAACTGTCATATACAGGATCATGAAATTTTGCAAAAGTGTATTTCAGAAATCATATTGCTGTGGATTCCAGTGGAGAAAGCACTTGCTAGCTTTTGTGATAATCAAGCATGAGAATCTGTTATTGTAACAGATATAACAGTGTACCTAAAAATGTACTGCCGGTGACATACAAACCTTTTTTTTTAAAAGGGCTTGCTTCCATGCACATACCTGTGTGCCCTGTGTTGGTGGAGAAATGATGAATTGCAGGATCAGTATCCTGACTTCCAAAATATCTGAACAATCAGAACTTTAAATTCTGAAACAGTGAGGACTTTGGGCAGCCAGCACCATCAAAAAGCCATGTCTTGAATAATCAAAGGACGGGTAAAGACCTGAATTCAGCTAGGCTGCCAGAAGGTGAGAACAAGCCCAGCAGGTTTATAAGAATGACCAGGAGTAGTTGTTCTCAATAGCAACATATAGGCAGAGTGAGAAGCATTCATCATGTCACACACATGTCGCATATCACACACTTGTCACGCACATCACACACACCTCACACTTCACACACTTGTCACACACGTCACACGTGTCACACTCGTCTCACACGTCACACATGCGTCACCCACATCATACACGTCACACACACAACACCTGTCACAAGCACGTCACAGATCACACACATTTCACATGTCACTCATGTCACACGTGTCACACTTGTCACACACGTAAGGTGAGGGTAGATTTCGTGGGGTTAGTGAAATAAATCTTAGGAGAAAGCAGTTGGCTTGCTTGTTGCAAACAGCAAGCAGGAGGAAAGACCAAGGAGCTGGGCAGGTACTTGGAGACTGAGCAGGTATTGTAAGAAGAAAGCCCACAAACAACAAAGAGTAGAGAGACTAAACCAGAGAAGCAGATAAGAAGAGCGAGCAACATTGCCAAGTTTTTTCCTGCATTGTGTAACAAGGAAATGTCTGAGGCAGAATTAAAAACAAAAAACAAAACACACACAGATTTGGAGCAGAGATAAGAAAACAATATCAAGAAATTCTTATCTGACCCATTAAATCTTGACTGATCCCTGATGATAGAAAAAAAGTGTCATATTTAGGGGTATGGCACTTACCTGAAAGAAAAATAGAAAAATACTGCCTGAAACTAATATTATTATTTAACATTGTGGAGAATGTAAATAATTTTAAAATAAATTTTAAAACACAGGAATTTGATTCTCCTGCAATAAAAGATAGTGCAACATAGCAATACGTATATTGTCTTATAATGTTGTACCTGTAGGTACAAATTCTACCGAGCTTCAGAAAAGAAACTTAGATCTGTATCTGCTATTGCTAGTAAAAGGTTGGGTTGGTGGGTTTCTTCTGCCATTAGATTTTAAATCTCTGCAATGACCAGTGTATAGACTTGAATGCGTGAATCATCTTGGACAGCTGCAGTTATGTTGCTGTAGCAGTGGGTGCAATGCCAAACTGGCTCTATCTATCTTTGGGGGCCTTGAATGGCCCCCAGCTCAGTACATACTTTCCCTTTGTAGAGGTACCCACCTCTCATGGGACCTTTCCAGCAAGCCTCTCTGGGGCTGCTTCTTAAGGATTCTCAAACGCTTACAGCTTTACAGTGAGCATTTTATTACTCTTGTCTTCCAGCTGTAGGGATTTCTCCCTTATCTTACTGATGAAAGGTAGCCCATCTCCACAGCTGTTATTTCAGCTGCCTTACCTAAAAGTGAGGAGTGCCAAGGGTATGACACCCTTGTTCATACCTTGAGATCAGACACTGGCCCCGCATATGTAACCACACACTTAAATTTAGATGTCATAATCTGGAGCTGAGTCTCCCCAGTGCTAATTTCACTGTTACTCTATAGCCTCTGTTTTCCATCTCAGTTGGTGGCTGCCAGCATCAATCAATGGTGAAGTGCTGATAATGCTGACAGCTTCTCAATGAAGTGCTCTGGCATGTGATACCATGCTAGTAGCCTGCCATTTCCCCTAGTACCACAAAAGCTCAGACATCTGCTCCCAGACCTGCTGAACTCTACATCTCCACAACAGTAAGGAGTATGGATGGACCTGCATAGTCAACGTTGTAGTAGATATCCCTAGTTGAGAATGTAGATTAATCATTCTTTAAGCAGCTGAAGAAAGCATGAACATCACAGACCATGGTGATCATACATGGCTCTGATCATCCCAGTATCCGCTAGAAGGGCAATGTGGCACAAACAATCCATGAGATTTCTGTACTGCATTGAAAACTCTTTCTTGATGCAGGTGATCAATAAACCAATGAGATGTTGAACCTGCTAGTCAAAAAACAAGGAAGATCTAATTGAAGATCTGAAGGTTGAGGGCAGCCTTGGCTGCAGCAACTGTGAAACTGGAGTTTTAAGATCCTGAGAGAAGTGAGAAAGATAAACAGCATAATTACAGCCCTGGACTTCAGAAGAGCAGATTTAGGTCTGTTCAGAGAGGCTTTCATGGGAAATTGCTGCAGGGCAAAAGGCCCCAGGAGGGCTGGCTGATCTTCAAGGGCAGCCTCCTCAGACAGCAAGAATAGCGCACAATGTTCAAAAAGTTGAGCAAGCATGGCAGAAGGCCAGCATGGATGAACATGGAGCTCCTGCCTGAGCTCAAGCACAGAAAGTACACAGAAGGTGGAAGCGGGGACAGACTAGTTGGGAGGAATGAACAGATGCTGTTCAAGCATGTGGGAATACAGTTAGGAAAGCTAAAGTGCAACTCAAGTTGAAACTAGCAAGGGAGGCAAAGGGAAACAAGGAAGTTCTCTGTAAGTACAGCAGAAAGAAGACCGATGAGAACGTGGCCTTATTGCTCAGTGGAGCAGGGAGCGTTGTGACAAGGGACATGGAAAAGGCTCAGGTATTCCATATGTTTTTTTTTCCTCAGTTTTCCTTGATAAGGTCTGTCCTCTGCCTTCCCAGGTCTCTGAGCCTTGCAGCAGTCTGTAGGTATGAAGCTGTACCCACAGTAGGAGAAGATAGAATGGGGACCACTTAACCCACTTAGCCATTCAGATAGGACCAGATGGCATGCACCTGAGGGTGCTGGAGGAG